CCATGAAGGGCTTTATAAGTTACGACTAGTACTTTGAAGCGTATCCGGAGACTGATCGGTAGCCAGTGCAGCTTGCGGAGGATAGGTGTAACGTAGGTGTACCGAGGTGCACCCACAATCGCACGGCCGCGTTCTGGACGAGTTGAAGTCTCCGAATACTCTTCAAGGGCTGCCCCATGTAGAGCGCATTGCAGTAGCACTCCTCCCTCTGATGTAGCCGTTTAAAAAATAATGGGATCATTAAAGGTGCCTAAGATGGGGCGGGCATGGGATGTGTAGTGTAGTGCCAGGCTTACCTGCCCTGAGCCTCCTAAGGCTTCTTCCATCCCCTGAGCCATTCTATACCCCACTTCTCTGCCTTTAGGGTCCCTGCAATTCTCTATCTTCCTTCCCACCCATCGATCGTGGGGAGATCAAGCATCGGGAGTTTGCAAGGCTCCAGTCAGCAAGGGGAGATCCCGCTGGATACAGTTTGCAACCTCCAACAAGCAAGGGGGAGATCAGGCTGTATCTTGCAAGCCTCTCGTTGCTTTCCCACCCAGGGACTTGCAGGAGTTAGTGTGCTCAGAAGCATCAAACATAAAGTTCTGCTTTTGCAGTTTCCTAGAGAGGCGTCTAGCCCGTTACAGGATCAGCTTTCTTACAGAGCCAGCCTTGTGGCAAATTCAAGTCCAGAAATATTAAGATCTCCAAGAAAAAAAATCTCATATCAAAAGAAAGCTTCTCTTAAATAACAAATGAATGCCCCAAAAAAACTGTTTAAGAAATGAAGGAAGTGATTTTGATTTTTAATGTACTAACTGCAGCTAGAATTGTATTTGCATAGCAATGGAAGAATGATAAGATCCCGACATATGAGAGTGTAACTAAGAAAATATTAGAATGTGCAGAAATGGATAGACTAACACTTACTATTAAGGACAAAGAAGAAACTGAATATTTTGATATGGGACCTATTTTAGCAATGGTTGAACAACAGAAACAGAAGTTAGAAATGTGGGGATATAAAAAGGGTAAATGTTAAAATGGAGATTTGTTAAAGTAGATAAGTTAAATAGCATTGTTATTATAGTATTAATGTTATTGTTATGAATGCCATTGTAAGCAATTTGATTATGGTTGCCTAAAAACAATCGTATAACACACTTTTTGATGGAAATTAATTTTTATCTATTTTTTATATATAAAATAAATAAAACGGGGGGAGAAATGAGGAAGTATAAGTTAATTGTTCAGCAGCATCACAAAAGAGATTCCTCTGCCTCTCAGTCGACCAATCAGTGAGAAAAACCACTTCCACACTCTACTTGCCAGTATTGATTGTACAAAGGACAAATTCAGTGATTCCTAGATTGCTTTTTGATTGCAATGTATGCTTTTTCCTTTGGGGTTTTCATTTTATATACAATCATTACACTAACCCCTATTTTTAAATCTTTTAGATGAAGAAGATTCCAAGAACAACATTCTGGACAAGTGAGAATCACAAAGAGCATTAAAAAGGAAAGAAAATCCAGCCAGCAATCTTTTTTTTTTGTCTTCACAAAAAGATCAAGAGGAAGTAATAATATCCAAATTTAGAAAAAAAGATGGAAATATCTGGAAATCAGTGGGGAGAAAGCTGTCACATAGAGAGCCATATAGGGCAGGCAGTCATGCAAGCTTTGCCCTGTGAAGAACGAAAGAGTAGCTTGAATCAAAGCACCATGCAAGAAAAAATTCAAAATATTTTTGACCTTCAAAATCCAGGAATATTAGTGGTGGAAAAGCCCTGCAGATCTACATATCATGAGAAAAGCATAGATTGCAGACAACAACTGATTACACCTGAAGGGATGCACACCGGAGAAGCCCCGAATGAATGCTCAGAGTGTGGAAAGGTATTTTACTACAGCTCTCATCCTTTTGAGGATAAAAGGACCTACAGTGATGGGAATCCATACCAATGTTCTCAGTGTGATAAGAGTTTTTGCAAGGACACACCCCTACTGATTCACCAGAAGACACACACAGGTGGAAAACCATATGAGTGTATGGATTGTGGGAAACATTTTACTTACAATTCCCACCTGGTGAAACATCAGAGGACTCACACGGGGGAGAAACCTTATGAGTGTCCAGATTGCAGGAAACGGTTCCGTACTAATTCACACCTGGTGGCCCACAAGAGGACTCACACAGGGGAGAAACCACACCAGTGTATGGAATGTGGGAAAAGTTTCAGTCGGAATTCCCAACTAGTTATTCACCAGAGGACACACACAGGAGAGAATCTATATGAATGTTTGGACTGTGGGAAAAGTTTCAGTCAGAATTCCCATTTGGTGGTACACCAGAGGACACACACAGGGGAGAAACCGTATGAATGTCCATATTGTGGGAAACGTTTCAGTTACAGTTCCAATCTGGCAGCACACCAAAGAATTCACACTGGGGAGAAATCAAATGAGTGTCCGGATTGTGGGAAAAGTTTCAGTCGGAATTCCTACCTGGTGATACACCACAGGACTCACACTGGGGAGAAACCGTATGAATGTCCTGATTGTGGGAAAAGTTTCATTCACAGTTCTGAACTGGTGAGACACCAGAGGACGCACACAGGAGAAAAACCATATGAATGTCCAGACTGCGGGAAAACTTTCAGTCAGAGTTCCAGCTTGGTGTCACACAGGAGGACTCACACTGGGGAGAAACCGTATGAGTGTCCAGATTGTGGGAAAACTTTCAGTCAGAGTTGTTACCTGGTTATACATGAGCGAACTCACACAGGGGAGAAACCATATGAGTGTCTATATTGTGGGAAAAGTTTCATTCGGAATTACTCCTTAGTGATACACCAAAGGACTCACACAGGGGAGAAACCGTACAAATGCATGGATTGTGGGAAAAGTTTCCGTCTTAATTCCCACCTGGTAGTCCATCAGAGGACTCACTCGGAGAAGAAACCTTACGAGTGCCAGGATTGTGGAGAAAGTTTCAGTCAGAATTGCCTTTTGGTGTACCACCAGAGGCGACACACAGGAGAGAAACCATATGAGTGTCCAGATTGTGGGAAAAGTTTCAGTAACAACTCCCACCTGGTGGTGCACCAGAGTATTCACACAGGTGAGAAGCCGTATGAGTGCCAGGAATGTGGGAAAACGTTTAGTCGTAATTCTCACCTGCTGATACATCAGAGGTCTCACACAGGGGAGAAACCATACGAGTGTCAGGAGTGTGGGAAAACTTTCAGTCGTAATTCCCACTTGGTGATACACCAAAGAACTCACACAGGAGAGAAACCATATGAGTGTCCTGATTGTGGGAAAGGTTTCACTACTAAGTCCAAACTTGTAGTTCATGTAGCTTTACACATTGGGGAGAAACCATTCAAATGCCCAGAATGCGGACGTAGCTTCACACAAAATTCCTCTCTTACTGCACACAAGAAAATCCACACGAGGCAGAAAGTAATGAGTCTGGAAAAGTCTTGACTTTCATTTCTGATCTGTCATTAGAAGTGCAGGAGATGTAGGGAGGCCTAATGGAAGCATCAGCCCACCTGCCTCAGGCCTTCTCCAGTGGCCCAGCTGTCCTGCCAGCGAGAATCAGTGGGGAAGGAATCTGTCTCTGCATATTCTAATTCTGCCTCTGCCCTTCTTTCTCCGAAGATGCCCTGCATTTATAGGACAAAAGAAGGACCAGTTCCTCAGCTTTTGGAGGCTTTTTTCCATTAATCAGCTGTCTGACCATTAGCTGTCCATGGGGATGCTGTGAAGCTCCTCTGTCTCTCTAGGCTTTGGGAAGAGGGCCCTTGCTGAAAGGGCAGCTTCAGGACAAGCTTCCCAAACCTTTCCCTTCCTTAACACCCTCTCCTTTCTCTCCCGAAAAAAAAAATCTGGGAAGGATGGGCTTGTTGATCTTCCTTCACCCTGCCTCAATTAGGTGCTAAAACTAAATTCTCCCTCTGCCCTCTAACCAATATCCTTTAAAAAAAAAACCTTACTTTGACTCCAGGCTGAAGAGTGGAAGAATGAAGCCAGCGAAGAGACTTTTTACTTCCAGTGAAAAGATGACTAACAGAATACATACCCTGAAAGGTTTTTTTCCCTGGGCTGTAACTGAAAGACTGGCATTCCTTCAGTTTGTATGATGCACCTGGATTAGGGAGAGTCTAAGAATTACTCCAAAGAGAAAATATTTCTGCAGCCTTTTCCCCCTGAGGTTAAAAAAAAAACAAAAAACCACAGCAAATCTCTAAAAGTTGTGCCAGAAAATAGAGGATGCTGTGTCTTTGCAAGCTTAAATTAACTGTCAGACTGCCTGTAAAGCCCAGCTAGGGCTTAAAAGACTAGATTGCTGCAGTCAAAATTGTGACTTTCTGAGGGATGGAGGACATTAAGGAAAGGGAAGGTTTGGGAAGTTTGTCCTGAAGCTGCATTTTGTGGCCATAAATTAGTTTAATAAGCATCCAGCTTGTCATACAAACGTATGGGCAGTGATAGATTTAATCTGCCACTCTTAACGTTCCCTAAACCCATCTCATGTTTCTAGTCCTCCTTTTAGATTCCATTTAAGCTTCTGTATTTATATATGCCTTCTCTTTTATACCTTTTAATTTTCTATAATAATAGTTATTTTAGCAATTATTAAGATTATTTCCTTTTTAATTAAATGTACCATACAATCCTTATGCTGGCCTTTCAGCATAATAAAAGATTTCATTTGATTTCACCAGGTTATATAGTACTTTTTTGTCTCCAATAGATCACATTGCATATGAATTCTTTGCAGAAAAATATCTTAACAAACCAGGACCAGGCCAGGGGTGAGGAGGAACCAAGAGGCTTTTTCAAAGCTTCAGGTGGCTTCAATTTTAAATGTGCAAAGTTTTAAAAGAATCAAATTATATTTAATTTTCTCTACTTTTCTCTCACTTGGTGTCATTTTTGGCGGGTGCACTCATCACATCAGATTTAGGAGATGAAAAACCTTGAAATGATTGAAAAACCTCTCTGAGAGGACCATACCGTAATGCAAACTCTTAGTGACTACAATATTCTGATGTCTTTGGGGAATAAAATGGGATATTAGGGCAAAGGCAATGGAAAGGAAGAACTAACCCTAATTGTAACACTACCTTTTTTTTTTAACAACCATTTAAAATTTTTATATGAAAAGTTTATTTGTTTGTTTTACCAAATTTAAACAGATTCACCCTCTTTCTAAGCCCTCTTTTTCTACTCCCTGCTATTATGTCTCTCACTTTCACCTAGAGGAGACTTTTGTGCAAAGGAATTTACAAAAGAAGATGGCATTTAGCATTGTGGGTGTCCCCATCTCTGGAGGCTTTCAAGAACAGACTGGACAGCCATTTATCTGAAATGTTATAAACTCCTGCTCGAGCAGGGGCTTGGACTCGATGACCTCCAAGGTCCCTACCGACTCTGTAATTCCATCATCTTTTTCTAGGAGATTTAAAATCTTCAGGAACAAAGGTGGCTTGCTGAGAACACCAGCTTCAAGACACTGGATGAACTTGGACACAACCAAGTGAAATGGGTTCCCTTGGAGTCTGGCCTGCTGGTGCTCTCAAGCTGGTTCCCCTTGGAAGCCACAGAAAATCTGTCAATCTCTACAGCTTAAATATGTATAGAGATTTTGATCACTGGAAAGGACAGGAATCTGAATCAGTTTTCTGCAAACTAGTTTCCTTCTTTTCCTCAAAGTTGCTTGAGAATCTATATATATATAAAAGTGAAAAACCCTCATGCCGCATCACAAAATCTCCAGAACCATAAAACCTACAAACTTGAAATATGGCATGTATGTTCCTCTTGGCTTCTCGGTGCTCGCTTAGAAAGGATTTTTCAAAATGACCGTCAGATCATTAGTACTGCTTATATTATTATTAACACGCTATGATGCTAAGCAGTTCTACTCCCCCCTCCCCACCTGAAAAGATCTCTGTTCAAACTGCCACTTGGGCGTGGCCACCATGTGACTCATCCGACCCGCTGGCTGGGAGTTTGGTGAGGAGCTTGAGGGAGAAAAGGGGATAAGATAGGAGAGATTTCTGTGGGGCAAGCCTGAGGGAGAAAAGTGGATAGGATAGGGGAGGTTTCTGTGCAGGGGTGGGTTCCTGCCAGTTCTAACCTCTTCTATAGAAGAGGTT